GAGACCACGGTGAAACCCCGTCTCTACTAAAAATACAAAAAATGAGCCGGGCGCAGTGGCGGGCGCCTGTAGTCCCAGCTACTCGGGAGGCTGGGGCAGGAGAATGGCGTGAACCCAGGAGGCGGAGCTTGCAGTGAGCCAGGATCGCGCCACTGCACTCCAGCTTGGGCGACAGAGCAAGACTCCGTCTCAAAAAAATAAATAAATAAATAAATAAAAATAAAATAAAATAAAGCCGTTATGTTATCAGGTGCATAAACACGTATAGGATCATTATGTCTTCTTAATCAGTTAAATGTTTTCTCATTATAAAATGGCCTTGTTTATTCCTGGCAAGATTTTTTGCTATGAAATCTTAGGGATTTCACCCCTGGCTTTAAAAAAAAAAAAAAAACGAAATATGAACAAGCCACAAGGACCAATGTAGGTATTCTCCCCGCTACGTCTTCAAGTCTCAGCGGCTGAGGCTGGAAGATGATATGGATTGGAACCCAAAAAATCTTTTTAAATCTTTTAAAAAACTGCTGTGGTTTTGCTGCTACACTAAGAATTGTGATTTGCATTGTATAGTTTTGGACCTATACTGTTCACGTTTTGACGGCGGAGAGGGGTGGTCCTGGAGGCCCAACCCTTCAGAGTCATCTCTGTCCTGCCCAGGATGCACTTTTAAATGAAGAGTTAGAATATCTTATTGGCTAATATACTTTTCTTGTTATTTTTACAAAGGCCACTTTTATCCTTTTTGACGCCATATTTTCAGTGTTACACTTTTATGGCTTTTAATTTTCGATTTGACAGATGTAAGAAGCTGCATGAATAGTTTATACTGTGGTTTTTCAGAGACTGAATGCCAGGAGAACTCAGTAAATGTTTATTCTTCTCAGCTTTCTCTTTAAATTCCCCTAAATAGCGCCCCCTTTGGAAAGAGTGCTGAACTGAAGAGCAAGAGCAAGAGTGTTGAACTGAAGACCAAAATGCCCTCAAGGTGTAAAATAATCCGAGGGGTAATATTTGCGGGGCGTCAGGAAACGTCAACCCTGATGGTTTTCAGTGATCCAGGAAGTCAGTGAGACAATCTCTTTATACGCAGAGCCCTTTCATGATAATTAGAATGGTATGGACAAACCAATGAAAACAAGAGGGAAAGTGAGAAAAATCACCCATGATTCTGTTTCACTGTTTGCTTTCTTCTGTCATGGTTAAGAGAAATGTGCAATTCGATCCTCAATCAGTAGGTGGAGGATAACAGGGTAGACTCACTCGTGTGCACTTGTACAGTTGTAGCTGTGAGTCCAGAAGTCCTCTAGAGCATGTGTACTGGCACTGAGTTGGTGAGACAGTTGTGGAGTATCCCATTCTGATGAGTACGGGGAAAAAAAAAAAAAGGAGAAAAAAATTAAGAAAAAAATCAAAAAGGAAGAAAACTAAAAAAAAAAAAAATCACCTTGTGATTCAGTGTATCTGTTTACTAACTCAAAGCAATTATTCCCTCTGGAGGTGTCCAGGTGCTCCTGCCCCACAAGGAGCCTCAGCAGGAGGGGTGGCGAGTCACAGGTGGGCAGGGCCAGGATGGTGTGGCGCTGGCCTTGAAGCACCACGGCCTGAGGAGGCGGTGTACATACTGTATTTCTAGATTCTTCGTTGTACAGAGTCACTTCACAAGGCAAGCTACTGTTTTACAGGTGCTCCTTATTTATTACAGCTGTGAGAGCTTGGGGGATGCGCTTTGCGAGCAAGCTCACTTTTTAAAAATGAAATTTGGGGGCAGGGGAAGGGGAGGCGGGAGGGAGGGGAAGCTCACAAGCCTGGGGAGAGATTTATAAAAGTAAATAAAACTTCCAGCAACAAATTAAAAAATAATAACAAATAAACCCCAGCACCAAACCCACCCAGGCAGGAAGAAGCCGCCCCTCCTCTGGGGCCGTATTTTTCTGCCGGGTCACCACATTCTCCTCTCCCCGACTGGTGTCAGATTCATCAAACAAAAAATAAATCTCGAAGAAAAAATAATAATAATACAGCCACTCCTGCTGAGACTTCTTTTGTCAAGTGTTAGCGTGGTCTATCATTTTCAGTTTTTAACCGATTTGTGTCTTTACATTTAAAGTGCATTTCTTAGAGGTGGCATATAATTGGGTTTTGCTTTTTAATCCAGTGTGATAATGTGCCTTTTAATTGAGATTTTTCAGGCCAGTTTTATTTATGATGCAATTATGAATATAGTCAGGTTTGTCTGTCATCATGCTGTTTCATTTCTATTTGTCCCAGCTGTTTTTTCCCTTTTCTTTCTTTTTCTGTTTTATTTTAGATTAGTCAAGTAATTTTTGTGAGTCATTTAAATCTTTTTTTGGCTTATTAGCTGTAACTCTTAGTTTTGCTATGTTAGTGGTTGCTGAAGGATTTATAGTATATATTAACTTATCACAATCCACTTTCAAGTAATATTGTACCACATCATAGATGGTATACGAAAATTACAATAGTATACTTTCGTTTCCTGTCACCCAGCCAGATCCATCCTGTGTCTGTGGGATTATAACTTTAACTAAGTTTAGAAAGTTCCTGGCCATTTTCTCTTCAAATATCTTGTTCTGTCTCTCTCTTCCCTCTTAAGGGACTTACCTACCAGCTGCCTGAAGTTTTCTCACAGTTCACTGACATCTCAAATTCATGAATCTTGTTTTTTGTGATGTCTAATTTGTGTTTATTTCCATTCAGTTTAGTTTTGTCTCAGACATTGTAATTGGTATTTCCATAAGTGTAATTTAGTTTTTAAAAATATCTTCCACGCCCCTACTTATCTTCTCAAGCTTTACTTTGAGCTCCAGTTCAGTCACTTATAAACAGCCAGATCCTTTTTCATCTTATGTTTATGATTGAGCAATTGCCCAGTCTTGAAGTGAAACCTTTCTGATTATCCACTGTTGTATATAAAGTATGAGTTTTTCCATCCTGGCTCATGGAAATGGACACTCCTCTGGCACTGTGTGACTACCAGGCATGGTTCCCTCTAATTTTTCAGATAGTTTTCTTCCTTGGTCTCGGATAGTTTGCCAGCACTGAATACCCGAGAGGAGATTTCTGCAGATCTCCAGAGTTCTTTCCCCGCACTGCGCTCTCCCGTCCAGTGTTCTTTCCTGTGGTCTCTCTGCTTTGGTTTTATGAGTCTCTCAGCTTCATCACTCCATCTCAAGGCATCTGGTAGACTCCACCTCAGTCTTGTTCTTCCTCTGTCACGGCCTGGAAAGTGTCAAGGCAGGCAGCTTGGGGCATTCATAGGCTTACTGTGTTTCCTGTCTTTCAGGGATGAGTGTCTTCTTTGCCTGAAGTTCACATTCTTGAAAATCATTGCTTAACGTATGTTGTCTGTTTTGTTTTTGGTTGTTTCAGGTAAGAAGGAAGATCAGTACCTGTTGCTCCCTCTTGGCTAGAAGTGGATCGCAGCAGAGCTTCAGCACATGCCGCAGACTGGCTAGAATGCCTTTCTTCCCCCTTTGCTTAACCTTTCCATCCTTCATTGCTCAGAGAAACAGGTCAAATTCTCTTATGTGTTCATAAAACTCTTTTCTCTGACAACATCTATCTGGATTTAAAATTGTTATATTTGTTGTCTTTATCCTTCACTACACTTGAAGCTAACAAGAGCAGAGGTCTTGCCTGTTTCATTGCAGAACTTAGCATAATGTCTTCCACATTGTAGGCAATATATATTTATTCAGGGAGGAGTGACTGAATGCTAAAATGCAGTTTTTTATATCCAAAAAGTACTCATTTATCTGATGTCTATCTTGTTTTCTTTCTGATACAGATCCTGTTAACCTACTGAAAATTCAGGATGCCATTCATTCATGGGAAAGATCAATAGAAGTTGAAAAAAATCACTGTAAACTACTTACAGAAAAAATGAAAAAAATGGAAAATGAGATCCATGTACTACAAAAGGAGTTATCTGAAACAATAGAAATAAAATTACAGTTAGAACATCAAAACGATGAATGGAAACAAGATTTCTACAGTTTGAGGCATGGCACCCTAGTTTTAAAGAAATGGCTGAAGTATTTCCTTTATGCTAAAAATATGTAGAAGAATTCTGGTATTTACTGACTTACCTTCTGGGGCCGAACAGGGGAGAGAACTTCTGAGCCTTCTGGAGCATGAAATTCTTTGATATAATATAACAAGTTCTTTACTGTGAATACTTCTACAAATAACTAAATGCTTACTCTTTTAAATCATCATTTTTATGACTGTATAGGAGTTTACCATATGGCAATCTCATCATTGATTTAGCAAATTGAATTGAGGGTTTTAAAGTTTTTTGTGTTTAAATAATGTTGCAAGGAACATCTTTTTATACAAATCTTTTTCTATATTTTTGGCTATTTACTTTGAATAAATTCTTCAATATAGATTTTTTTTGTTCAATTATAAAAACTTTTAACAAATGGTCTTTGATCAATATTTCTCAGTTGTTCACAAGAAAATTTATATTAGCTTACAGTGTAGCCAACACGGTATGAAATGTCCATTTTTAAAAAAACTCAGATTAATTCTTTTAAATTTATAGTTTTATTCTTACTATGCATGAAATAAAAGTTGAAATGGAAAGTGATTTCTGATTCGTTTATTCAACATCTCTCACTTTTCCACATATAAAATTAATTCAGAGTTCTATGTGAAAAACACATACTGTCCAAAGTGTCACCCATAAAAGAAACATCAAAAGTGTGGGGTAACCGGTTAGACTCCTTGGCCTAGTCTTGCATTATAGCGATCTGCTGATACATGTGTGAAAAACAGATGAAGGTGCTCTTTTACACTGTAAATCATTTTTAGAGATATCTGCACTATTTCATGAAGATGAACATTTCTAGTGAATTTATAAACATGTTTATAAATGGCAACTTCTTTTTAATTAGCTAACTCTAAATAACTTTCTCTAATTGAGGAGCAATTACAACTGTATAGGGGAAAAATTACTTTTCTACCTGTAGTGTTGGTGAATAATTTCCAATATCCTTTTCTATAATATTCGCCAGAGTTACTAGGAACAGAAACTTCCCAATTACCAGAATGTTCTTTCCTCCTTACCTTTCAAGTATGCATCATTTGGAAGAGATGGAAGTAAGAAATTGGAAATACAAGAACTAGGAAGGAAAAACATTCACAAGTGTAGACATTTTACTAAGAAAGCAGCCAACATATGCAGAGCCAGATCACAAAATGAACTTATTATTTTCTAATGAAACTAATATTAAGATAAACATATTTCACTGCAGATCTGCCTTAAGACAAGAAGAAGAGAAGAGAAAAAATGCCAACACATTGTATGAAAAAATCAGGGGACACTTAAGAAGAAAAGAAGAGCAGTACATGAAAGAAGTTGAAGCGAACAAACAACTTCAACTGACTCTGAGAACACGAGATATGGAATTGAGGACAGTAAGAAATAATTTGAACCAGGTAAAATCATCTTTGGTAGAAAGTTTCCATTTCTAATTTTACTTCATCAGTATTACTTATAATATCCCTTTGTTTTAATAACTTACTTAGTCTTAAAAAATCAAAAATTAAAAATAAACGATGACATTTATAGCTAAAGTTATTTATTATATCCTTGGTATCAAATAGATGCTCAGTATGTTTTCTGAGTGAAGGGTACGTTGAGTTTGATCACTAACATAAATGTTCCGTTAGGCATTTTTAAGTTAAAATACAGGCTAAATAGCTTTAAAACTGTATTGAAACTAGTTAAATATTTTGCAAAGAAATTTTACCTCACCACACTGTATCTGCTTGTATTTAAAAACTGTTTTTGCTCTTTGATGAATTTAGGTGTTACTTATACTATTAAAGCTTGTGTAATTCTTCAAGGAAAAAGGTTCTTGTGTTTTGTTTGTTTGTTTGTTTGTTTTTTGAGATCGAGTCTCACTCTGTCTACCAGGCTGGAGTCCAGTGGCGCCATCTCGGCTCACTGCAAGCTCCGTCTCCCGGGTTCAAGTCATTCCCCTGCCTCAGCCTCCCGAGTAGCTGGGACTACAGGCGCCGCCACCGCGCCCGGCTAATTTTTTGTTTTTTGTTTTGTTTTGTTTTGTTTTTTAAGAAGAGGTGGGGTTTCACCGTGTTAGCCAGATGGTCTCGATCTCTTGACCTAATGATTCGCCCACCTCAGCCTCCCAAAGTGCTGGGATTGCAGGCGTGAGCCACCGCGCCCGGCCGGTTCTTGTGTTTTGATAGGCTACTTATTAAAGAGTTTTTTTTTTTTTTTTAAAGGTTCTGCTCTCAATGTTTTAGACTTTTCAATGTTTATTAGACAAAAAATCTAATGTATCTCTAGGTTGTACAAGAGCTGAGTGACACCCAGAGGCAACTTTCTCGAGAAAAGAATGCCAGAATATTACAAGATGAAATCCTGACCAATCACCTTTGCAAACAAAGGGAGATAGCACTGGCTCGAAGGAAAAGGAATTCTCAGGTATTTCCTTTCAGTCATTTTCAAATACGTGTGCTTATACATGTTTTTACGTGTATATATATTTAAAATCCAACCATATGTATCTTGGCAAATAGAGAATATCTTAAAACCATTCATGTGTGTCTGTATTGTTGGGGGTGGTGGTAGTGGTGGCATTTCTGGCCGTTGGATAGTCATGTTTTAAATTCAACTCCATCTGAGTGCAGTGGTTAAGCAGTGACTCTCATGACGGCCTCATCCTAAGGAGAGGCTTTTAATATTTTCCATAGGAATCGATGATCTCCCCATTATCTCCAAACCCTTGCTACTAACAATAGATGTTCTAATTTTTGGAAGTGATTTCATCCCCTTGATTTGTTATTGGAGAAGTTAATTATTTGCAAAAAAAGTACAGTCAATTCAGAGACCATATTTTGAATGTGATTCTCCTTACTTTTGAGAGTAACAGTTTTCTCCAAGTGGTATCTTATTTCAGTACAAAAAGCTTTTCGAAACAATACGATACCATAACGTATACTTACTTTTGTTCCTAGTGAGATAGTTTAGTGTTTTCTCCTATTTCACATTTAATACTGTTTCCAACATTGTGAAGGAAACAAAAGTTATTGCAACAGCAAGTAATCTCATGATTTTCTAAGAAGAGCTCTGTACATTTCATCTTATTTACCTTTGGCGTCTTGGAGAAATAAGCTTCTTTTGTATTTACATATTTACACCACAGAAGGATCTGTGATTTGGGGGAGGAGCACTAGAAGTGGAATCAGAAGACCTGGGGAAAATCTTGCAGCTTGCTTCTATTTGTAACCTCTCCTTTTTAGAGTTGTGGTAAATGAGTTTATTGATGTATATAGAAGTGCTTAGTACAATGACTTGATGGATCATATATCAATAAATGTAACTATTACAACATTATAAAAATGATAGAAAAGTAGAATACCTATAGAATATTAAATGTTAGAAAAATAGAATATCTATAGAATATTCTCAGGAAAATGCACTTGAAGAACTTTGGGAAATTTCATCTATCCAAAGATACCCAGAGCTAAGGCTCTTGCTATGGGGTGGTGTACAGGTTAGATATCAGAGCGTAAACCCAATTTTTTAATGGATTCAAATTTATTAATATTTTATGTTATACCTTTGAATTTTTTGTAATTTAGGGAAAAACTTCTCTTATTGTGAGATTCTTAAACGTTCTCTAGATGTTTAGTTTTTACTTTCATGAATCTGTGGTCTTCAATAAACTTTTGAACATTGACGAGTTTATGTTTAATAAGGTTTCAGGTTTATGTTTAATAAGATTTCAGATGCAAAGCCCACAGTAGTCACTGAGTAAATGTTTTCTTTTAATGTTTTAAATAGGAAGACTCTTTTTTACATTGATTGGTTTTAGATTTTGGGTGCACTGCGGACACATTCAGAAATGCTTATTTAAGTAATTTCTCTATTTCTCAAAGATGTTTTCTCTTTAGCTAAATGTGGTTATATGGGTACATCCAAGCTAAAACAACATTTCTAAATGTTTGATTTTTTTTCATGGCGGAGCATTGTGTCTCAACTGAGTGAGTTGCGTTTCTTCCTGACTAAAAAGAGGCCTGTTTGCATCACGAAGGCAGTGCCTGTCTACTCTGAATTTTAACTCCAATGAAACTATCATAATAGTTATGCTGTTTACTCTGGATACAAAGGCAGTGTTTGATTAACCTTTTGTTATGTCATTTATATATGTTCTATATAATTCCTTCTGCCTGCACTTTTTTTTTTTTGAGACGGAGTCTCGCTCTGTCGCCCAGGCTAGAGTGCAGTGGCACGATCTCGACTCACTGCAAGCTCCCCCTCCCGGGTTCATGCCATTCTCCTGCCTTAGCCTCCCGAGTAGCTGGGACTACAGGTGCCCGCCACCATGCCCAGCTAATTTTTTGTATTTTTAGTAGACATGGGGTTTCACCATCTCGATCTCCTGACCTCGTGATCTGCCCACCTCGGCCTCCCACAGTGCTGGGATTACAGGCATGAGCCACCACGCCCAGCCTCTGTCTGCACTTTATTGTACTTTCTTAGTCAAATGTCCAGTACTCACTTTATCCTTTGAAAGTTTCAGGCAATCTCTCACTTTCTTCCCATTCTTTCTCTTCACTTTTTTCACAAGGTCTTTAAATACATGTGTGGCTCTGTGCTGAATCCTTTAGCTCCTCAATCAGCAGACTGTTCCCCACTTATTTTCTCTGTGACAAAATATATGTATTTCATAATTACAGATGGACGAATATCATTTCTTCCATTCATTAGCCTATTTAAATTTATGTTGAATTGCAGTGGTTTAAATGGGCAAACATATTTGATTCTAATGCACTTGAGTGCATGTTTACTTTTACTACACTTGAATGGTCCTTAAAATAGAGAATGCTGTCACAGTTTAATTTGAAAACATCAAAAGTTACTGAAAATATAGTAGCTATAAAAATGTGTGTTTGGTGTGCATGTATTTATTAAATCAGTCTCGAAAAATGCTGCAGATCCAGCCAGTGGATCTCAAGTGTTAATTGACAGTAGCCTGTACTATACACTATTGTTGAATGAATGAACTATATATCTGTATTTACTGGGATTTCCCATTGCTATTGATTTCACTATATTCCTTTTTCTAAAATTTTCCTTTCGACTTTTCTCCTCTTAAAGTTGGCTGTGTTGGAGAATGTACAGTAAGAGCATGTAACTGAGGAAGAAGGAAGCATTGGTATACGTGTTGTAAGGTCAGCTTTCTTGCTAAGGCTGTGGGGAGGTAAGCAGCAAATCCCCTTTGAAGTTGAGAACATAGGAGTCAGACAGATGAGCATCAACATACTAGCTTTTATTACTGACTCCCAGTAACTAATGGGGGATGTGGCTCAGATGTGCGGGCACAGTAGGCTTCTGAACACTTCATCCCAGGTTAGGCATTCACACACACAGTTGTAAGTGGAGAAAGCTTGATACTCATCCCCAAAGCAGGCTGCCTGCTGCAGAGATGACAGCTGACTTGAATTCATGCCACTGTGGGCAGACATATCATTTCACAGGAGAGACCCAGAACCAAGCAAGCACAAATTCACCCTTTTGGTAAATCTTCCCACAAGGAAGGTAGAGAGCGTGTTAGTCCTCATGTGGAAATGTGAGGTCAGGGAAGCCAAGGTTCTCCTATCGCTTCTGCCTGAATTTAAATTGTAATTGAAATTAAATCCATGTCTTTGTAATGATGAGGAGGTGGACAGAAGTGTGCTAGATGAAAAAGATAAATCTGTTTTTCCTCTTCAATTTTGCTATAAATAACCCACAACATGGATAATTGACTTGATTGATTGATTGTGGTAAACCATGTTTTATTTGGAGAAAATTAATAGTCCTTTTGAGGAAGAATTTTTCTCAGCTTCAGCTTGCTTAGTTCACCTAAAGGCTCTTTATTTCATGTTCCCTGTCCTGTGACTTAAAAAAAAAATGTTCTTTATACATTGAGTACATTCACTGCTACTAACAAAAGTTCTGACGTTAATTGCTGTTTCTAATTTTTTTCATAACTTTCAAATTTACAATTTAGAGAAGTAGTCTTTTCTGTATCGTGCCTAAACATTATTGAGCTATGTGACAGTTTTACATGTGCATTTTCTGAGTTATATTTTAAAATCTATGTCCGTTTTCTGAATAAGAAGGAAGCAGCTGGCATAGATCTCCAGGCTCAGTAAGGAGACCTGAAGCCCATTCCTGGCCTGTATGTAGCTAATTCACTATGTGACCTCAGGCAAGCTACAATCTCTCTGAGCCTGTGTTGCCTCCTATGAAAACTTAGGGATTTTAACTACACTGGTGTCATACCTTAAAAAATTGAAGAATAGCGCTTTCCTTTTTAAGAAAATGTCTATGAAACTGTGTTCTGTAAAACAGAAGTTCAGTTGTCTGGCTAAGGGAAGGATGGGAGCTCTAAACTGTGACTTCCTTATCTTTTAATCCTGCAGTGTCCTGTGTGGAACCTTAGATTTCTTTGGGACATAGTTTGAAAACTACCGGTTATGAGAGAATGTTTCTAATTAGCTAAAATTTGCTGGTACATTGTTCTCCTGTGTATAATTTTGTCACCTACTGGTTTTTTAAATGAAAAAGTACAGATGAAGTTTCAAATGTGTTCCCCTTATTAATGTTGGACTTGAAGCCACCTCCACCATCTGAAACATAATCTCCACCTGGAAATAAACAGAAAGACCACGGAGAAAGGAAGAATGTGTTTAATGAAAAGTTTATATATTTTAATTCATTAGGAGCTAATGTAGCTTTTGATTTGGTTGGTATATTGCATAAAATGAAGATGAGCAGTTTACTAAGCTTTTTTTATTTCCTCTGACAATGTTCAGTTTCTCCTAAGCTGTTGCTCTACACACTTCCAAAGCCATTGATGCCACCTTTGTCTCTAACTGAATAGGACAGTGATTAATGTCACCAAGATGCTTTTCTCTCCATCTTCCTTCTATAACCTGTACCAGGCACTGTTTTAAGTCATTCAATGGCTGACAACAGTTCTGAATTTCTATTAAGAGAATTATTTGGAAAATATATTATTTAATGGTAAAGCAAGAATAAAATGAAAGAGATTTTGAAAAGTCATTTCATATTTGCCAGTTTTCACTGGTGAATATGGGCAGAACTACCCCTGCCTGCCACCAGCCAGGATAAAACTGGGGCCATCAACCCTTCTGACAGCTCTTGGAATCCCCTTTCAGAACAGTTCCGTCCCTGTGTTCTGGTCTGTCCCTTTTCCCTCTGACCCTTCAAATCTGAGCTGGTATCTCTTTCCCAAAGGCAGTTGCCCTCAGCGTCATTTGTGTGGTAAAACATTCAAAAGTCAGCAAAAGGCTGGAAGAGGATTTATGTAGGGAGGGGCAGCTTCAGGATACAATTACTTCTACCCTGTAGAGTTCGGAGGGAAAAGAATGACCTTTACTTAAATCTGTTATACAGAAAGCATCCTCTATCTAGAGAGTTAAGACTTCTTTTTTTGTTTTTTTTTTTTTTTTTTTTTTGACGCGGAGTCTTGCTCTGTGCCCCAGGCTGGAGTGCAGTGGCGCGATCTCGGCTCACTGCAAGCTCCGCTCCCCCGGGTTCACGCCATTCTCCTGCCTCAGCCTCCCGAGTAGCTGGGACTACAGGCGCCCGCCACCTCGCCCGGCTAATTTTCTTGTATTTTTAGTAGAGACGGGGTTTCACCGTGTTAGCCAGGATGGTCTCGATCTCCTGACCTCGTGATCCGCCCGTCTCGGCCTCCCAAAGTGCTGGGATTACAGGCTTGAGCCACCGCGCCCGGCCAGTTAAGACTTCTTGAGGATAAAAGTAAGAAGCCTATCAAGAAAAGTATTTGATTTGTAATCTAAATAACATGTAAGTATTATGAAAGTATTTGTAACTGCGGTATCATGAACTAATAAAATATATTACACAAAGGAAGTATTTAGGAGAAGAGCTTCTGGAAGAAAAGAAAATAATAACATTACATTAGTCGGTTGTTAGCCGAAGTCATGTAAAACTGCACATTTTACATAGTGTTAATGAATGATAATGTAAGATTTCTTTGATAAACGCTTTTCCCTTTATCTGGAATTGAGTTTTTACTTTTACAAGGCCTGGCTAGTAATGATTTTGTCATGTTACCCATTTTATAAAGTCTATCTATAATGTTGTGCACATGTACCGTAAAACATAAAGTATAATAATAAAAAAATTTTTGAAAAAAAGTCTATCTATAATGTTATTTTCACAAAAAAAGTTATAGAAAACTGTCTCTCAAACTATTCCTAAACCTGTTAGTCAGAAAAATGTCTTTATACCCCAAATTTGTGAAGGCATTGGCTATCATGTTATCATTATCACTGTGGGGGAAAAGAGTCAAACTCTGTAAAATATTTGAAGAGATTTATTCTGAGCCAAATTTGAGTGACTGTGGCCCATGACACATCCTCAGGAGCTGCTGAGAACATGTGCCCAAGGTGGTTGGGATGCAGCTTGGTTTATATATTTTAGGAAGGCATGAAACATCAATCAAATACATTTAAGAAATACATGGGTTTGGCTTAGGAAGGCAGGACAACTGAAAGCGGGGACTTCCAGGCTATAGGTAAATCTAAACGTTTCTAGTTGACAATTGGTTGAGTTTGTCTAAAGACCTGGGATCAATAGAAAGGAATGTTGGGTTAAAGATAACCTAGATTGTGGATGGCCTAGATAGATAACCTAAAGATAACCAGGATTGTGGAGACCAAGTGTTAATTGAGCAGAGGAAGCACTTTGATAGCACACTTTAGAGTTAGCAGGTTATAAATTGTTTTTAAAAGGGTGCCTGGCTATTGGTCAATTATCTCCTGGTTCTGGAAAGGAAGGAAGGAAGGATGGAAGGAAGGAAGGAAGGAAGGAAAGAAGGAAGGAGAAGGGGGAGGGGGAGGGGAAGGGGAAGGGAAGGGAAGGGAGGAAGGGAGGGAGGGAGGGAGGGAAGGAAGGAAGGAAGGAAGGAAGGAAGGAAGGAAGGAAGGAAAGAAAGAACGAACAAAGAGGCAAGGGGATTCTCTATAGAATGTGGATTTTTCCCATAAGAGATTTTGCAGGGCAATTTCAAGGTATGGCAAGAAATATATTTTGGGGTTAATTTTTTTTCCATGTCTCATAATGTTATGCCAGAGTCAGATTGAAAGTTAAGTCACAATATATAGAGTTAAATAAAACCCATCTGATGAGAATGTGTGGTTTCTAGGGCATGACTCCCCAGACTCCTAGGTAGGAATTTGGATAAGATAAAAATCAGAGCTTAGTTCTTATCACCATGATATAGTTGTTATTTTTAATATATCAATTGTACTTTTTATCAGATTAATCTAAACAGCATAACACATATATGTTCTCTGTTATCTAAACTTAAAATAAGTAGGAATTTTATTTATGTGGTTATTGTTTATTTGAGCAATTCTCAAATTAGACCTAGCCTTTGAAATTATTATATAAAAGGCTACATTTTTGTAAGTGATGTATCATTCTCATAATAATGTCTCTTGTTTAACTTAAACATTATAAATTATATTTGACGTATTTCAGATGCTGCAGGAGTTTCAAGACAGTATAACTGGAGAGCTACAAAAAGGTATCTTGCCAAAGTTTATGAATTAAACTTAATTCATTGATTTCTGAAACAAACTACAAATAGTAAATAGCATCCTTTTCCATAATTTGGTTAACAGGTAATATGTTAAATATTTTTTCATACACACCACTAATGAAAGATGTGAAAGCATTAACATTTATAATTAAAAGTATACTTAACCCGTCATTAATTCATCATGTACCATAACTTCAGAGAAATCTCAAGAAATCTGTCTTTTTTTCTCTGGCTTTACACTTCTTTCACTTCTGCCATCTCTAGGGACCTGCCAGCCAGCACACTGAAACTGTTCTCAGACAACAAAGGCATCATCGATTTCCTGGGTTTATGGTGGTGATTTAAGGCCAAGAGACAGACTCCAGGCTCATCTAGTAACACTCAGTCAGGCTACTCCAGTTCAAAGGCAGCCACGTGACACGTGACATTTTAAATCTCCAGTCATTTACTTTGTCATTGGGTTACTTTTGCCCCCAGGAAAGGTTCCAGATTCCTAGCATGGAGTAAAAACACCCAAATCAGTTTGGCTCCTGTCAAGTTATTCAGCCTCATCTCTCATCACTTGCCATACTCTGTCCCATCGCTCTAGCATCTCGCCAAAGTCGGCTACGCAGAACACAGGGACCTTCCTCAGCTCCAGCTCTCTGCACGTGTTCTTCCCTCCATCAGCTGTTCTTCCTTCTTGTCCTTAAGCTATTAACCTACATATTGTCTCCAGCAAACAGCCTACAATATTGATATGAAACTGAGATACATGTCTTTTTGTGTGTTCCAGCAGTGCTATGTTTAATACCTGCTATGGTGTCCGTGACTGTCTATGGAAATTGCCTGTGTGTCTGTTTGTGTTTCAGGTTGACTACAACCTGCAATGTTGAGGGGTGGACTATATCATCTTCATCTTGTAATTTCGGTGCTTGTCCTAGTTCCTGAACACATGGTTGTTGAATAAATGAATGAAAAAATGAGAAAACCAGGAACTCTGATACTTAATCACAATGATAATTCAATCTGTGACTATGACCAAATTATATTTCATAGTAATTTTGTATTGTGATTTTGCATATGTATTTTTTATTCTTATTAGCATGGATAAAGTTCTCGCCTCATGTTACTGACTTACACTTAGTTAACTATGGAATATTTGAGATAAGTAATTCTTTCTTTTTCTTTCCAGATGCTGGTGAATTTGAATTGGAATCATATGTGGTTCCTCATCTAGGACCTACTAATGAGTCAACTATAAATTAAGATATAGTTTGGAAATATTAAGAAATATGTATTGATTTTAACCAGAAATATCTGAAAGATAGCAAAATGTCATTATTGGTCTGTTTACCTGACATTTTGCTTCCCATTATGTATATGACATGTGAAAATCTTTATTAAAGGAAAATATTTTTGTATCATGCATGTCTGTTGAAAACTTATATAGTATTTAAAATCATGTTTCTTGGTCCTCTTGACTAACTCTCAAGTAGATCTTACAAATGAAAATTAGTATTATTGGCCAGGCATGGTGGCTCACGCCTGTAATCCCAGCACTTGGGAGGCCGAGGTGGGTGGATCATGAGGTCAGGCGTTTGAGACCAGCCTGACCAACATGGTGAAACCCTGTCTCTACTAAAAATATAAAAATTAGCTGAGTGTGGTGGCGCGTGCCTGTAATCCCAACTACTCAGGAGGCTGAGGCAGGAGAATTGCTTGAAGCCAGGAGGCAGAGGTTGCAGTGAGCCAGGATCATGCCACTGCACTCTAGCTTGGGCAACAGAGCAAGACTACATCTCAAAAAAAAAAAAAAGAAAAGGAAAAAAAAAAAAACAACCAACCAAACAAAAAATAGGAAAGAAGAAAACTAGTATTATTGAGTTTTACATACTCAAACTTTCAAAATGCCATCTGGTTAAACAGCCGAACAGCTAAGTTGTCATTAATACTTCAGTGGAGTTAATTGATGGTTTATTCTTATTTTGTAATTTTTATATGGTGATAGATTTTGATTTAGACACATCCTTTTGACATATTGGTACTGTGGTCATTGTCAACGTTTGGATGTATGTCAATTGTTGTAGTGCCATCAAACTTACGTATTCTTGATTTTAAGCACTGGTGTATGTAGATCTTTTCTCCTGGAAATATATGAATTGCTTTAGGCTTTTCATCTTTTCTATCTATTTATTTTTATTTTTATTTGTGAACTTTTGGGAAACACTCTTAAAATTATAGAAAAGTTCCAAGTTATACTACAAATAATTATCCCTCTGAACCATGTGAGAGTAAATTACTGGCATTAGGCCAGCACTCCTGATTACTTTAGTAGGTATTCCCACAAGTCAGGACACTCTACATAACTACAATACAATCTTAATAATCAGTAAGTTAACTTTACTACATCGTATCATTCAATCTTCAGCTTCTTTTGAGCTTTGATTGTCTGTCATGTCCTTTATAGCACACGGATCCCATTCAGACCCATGGATTGCATTTAGATGTGTGTCTCTTACACTCCTTCAGTCTGGAACAGTTCCTCAGGTTTCCTTGACTTCATGACTTTGAATCTTTTGAAGAGTAAATTTCAGAGTATAGAATATCTCTCAGTTGTCTTTTCCTGGTGTTTCATTATGATGAGATTTAGATTGTATTATTTTTGGCAAGAGTACCTCAGCGATGATCCTGGGATCTTCTCATTGCATCCTACCATATAACCTATAATTTTCATTTGTCTTATTACTGGTGACATTAGCTTTGACAATTAATGATGGTATCTGCTGGATTTCTTTTCTGCAGTGTTACTTTTTCATCTTGTAATTAATTGATATATTGTGGGGAGGTAATTTAAGACTATGTAAATATCTCTGTTCCTCATAAAATCTTCAATTTATTCATTTACTTAGATCAACATGGTTGCATGGTTTATTTCATGCAATGGGATATAATTTGTTGATATTTTTAAAAATTTGTTTTTCTTCTTAGACATGTTTTGTTTTGACAATTTCAGACTTAAGGAAAAATTATAAAAATAGTACAAAGAATCCTTGGGTCTCATTCCCCAAATGTTAACATTTTACTGCATTTGCTTTACTTATTCACTCACTTTTCTTCTTCTCTTTCTAAATAAATATAAATGTAGGTACATAATATATATTTCTCTTCCTGAACCATTTGTCAGTCACAGACATGATGCCTCTTTATTTCTAAATACTTTCCTATTTCCTAAAAAGAAGAAATTTTCTTACATAACTATGATTATCATTATCAAAATCAGAAAATTGAAATTGATTCAATATTAATATCTAATTGACAGACCTTATTAAGATTTTTCCAGTTTCCCCCATAATATCCTTTATAGCCAAAGAAAATCCAAGATGGGGGATTTTCACATTCAATGATGTGCTGGGTCCAATTGTCCTCTTTCTTTGTTCTCCTTTAATCTGGGACTGTTTTTGAGCCTTTCTTTGATTTTTGTAACATTCATGCTTTTGAAGAGTATGGGTCAATTATTTATGGCTTTTCTCTCTGTTTGTGTTCATGTGATGTTTCCTCATTATTAGATTAAGATTATATTATTCAGGCAGGAATGTCACACAGGTGATGCTGACTTCTTCCCAATACAACTTATCTGGAGACTTATGGAGCATATCCGGAGGCTGTCAGTTGGTTTCATTGCTGGACAGTGTTGACTTTGCTTCTTTGGTTAAGGAGTATCTGTCAGGTTTGTCCATGGTAAAGTTACTGTTTACCTTTTGTATTTCACTGATATCTTGTGTGACAATACTTTGTGGCTCTATAAATATCTAGTTACACCTCAAAATTTCACCCACTAGATTTAGTATTGCATTGATGATTTTTTTTTCTTTTTCTTTGCTGTTCTTTTTTTTTGGAGACAGGGTCATGCTCTGTACCCTAGGTTAGAGTGCAGTGGCACAAGCTCAGCTCACTGCAGCCTCAGACTCCCTCCTGGGCCCAAGCGATCCTCTTATTCAGCCTCCCAAACAGCTAGGGTGTTGCTATTTGCCTAGGCTGGTCTCAAGCTCCTGGGCTCAAGGGATCCGCCCAGCCTCAGCTTCCCAAAGTTCTGGAATTACAGGCATGAGCCACCACACTTGGCTGCATTGATGGTTCTTGCTTGAATTTAATTATGATGAGTGATGCTGGCCTGATGGTGGCTGCATGATGATTTCTTATTCTTTCATACCTTCTACATGGATTAAAAAATGAAACAAAACAAAACAAACAAACAGGGGAGAAGGGAAAACATTATTTTGGTGTTCAAATACCCCCAGACTTGGCCAGTGATAGCCATTTCAGGCTGACTTCATGTCTTTCTGATGTTTTGCCATTATTCTTTAAGCGTTTCTTTATTTTATGCCACACAGTCTTCCAAGCTTATCATCTGCTTTCTCTTCCCCAGGCCTGAAATCAGCCATTTTTCTGGCAGACCAGATTTTTTTTAGGGGAGAATGATATTTAGAAACCAAGATCTGGCCACTAGTTGAAGCAGATGTGTATATGGCTGTGGGGGTTCTCATTGCTCACAGGCTTCCTCCTGGAACAGAGCAGAGAAATATATGCATATACATAAATACACATACATACATGCTTACATTAATCCAAATTCCAGTATCAAAATATGTTGAAAATCCCAAGTTCTTACTGACACTCTCCATTTCAGTCCAATCCCACATGGTTCATTCTAATGTTTTCCTTTCCTTTCCTCTTGAACAATGTGGGGTGTAGGGGCATAGTAGAAAATTCACATATAAATTTGGACTCCCACAAAACTTAACTACTAATAGCCAACTGTTGACCAGAAGCCTTATTCATAACATAAACAGTCAATGAACACATATTTTGTAGGTTCAGTGTATTATATACTATATTCTTTTTTTTTTTTTTTTGAGATGGAGTCTCGATCTTGTTGCCCAAGCTGGTGTACAATGGTGCAATCTCAGCTCCCTGCAACCTCTGCCTCCTGGGTTCAAGCCATTCTTCTGCCTTAGCCTCCTGAGTAGCTGGGACTATAGGCGTGTGCCACCACAGCTGGCTAATTTTTTGTTATATACTATATTCTTACAAAAATAAGGTGGACAAAAGAAAATGTCACTAAGAAAATTATGAGGAAGATAAAGTGTATTTTCAGTACTGTACTGAATTCATTGGTAACATAAATTTACTTCATATGTTTCTGAGATGAATCATCTATCTGAAATGGCAAGCAAACAAAGATGCAGACCTCAATCTATGATACATATCAAGTATCACGGCTTTCTCTTACAAGGTTATGGTATTTCTCTGCTTCTTGGGAGCACTTTATGCATCACTTGTGGTACTTTCTTTGGGTTCTGTGGTTCACACTATTTCACTAAACATGAAAAATACAAGAATTTCTAGCTAGAGCTTTCAGATAAGAGAAAGAAATAAGGGGTATCCAACTGGGAAGAAAGAAGTCAAATTATTTTTGTTTGAAGTTGATGTGATCCTATATTTGAGAAACCTAAAGACTCCTTCTAAGAACTGATACACACATTCAGTAAAGTTGCAGGATGAAAACAATCAACATACAAAACAGTGAACAATCTGAAAAAGAAATCAAGAAACTAACGCCATTTACAATAGCTACAAATAAAATAAGATACCTAGGAATGCACTTAACCTAAGAAGTGAAAGATCTCTACAATGAAAACTATAAAACATTGCTGCAAGAAAGTGAAGAGGAGACAAAATTGGAAACACATTCCATTTTCATGGATTGGAAGAATTCATATTGTTAAAATGTCCATACTACCCAAAGCAATCCACAGAGTCAATGCAGTCTCTATCAACATACCAGTGATATTCTTCACAGACGGGAAGATGATTATGTGAACTGTGGTATATCCAGGCAATATATTATTACACTCAATAAAAGTATAATTAACACTATGTGGCAACAGAGAACAACATGTCTTACAATCTTAAGTTTTAACAGAATACATGATTATAGCAAGTAAAAGATACAGGCCAGGAGTGGTAGCTCACACCTGTAATCCCAGCACTTTGGGAGGCTGAGGCAGGTGGATCACCTGAGGTCGGGAGTTTGAGACCAACTTGACCAACATGGAGAAACCCCATCTCTACTAAAAATACAAAATTAGCCAGGCGTGGTGGCACATGCCTGTAATCCCAGCTGCTCGGGAGGTTGAGGCAAGAGAATTGCTTGAACCCGGGAGGTGGAGGTTGTGGTGAACTGAGATCGATTGTGCCACTGCCCTCCAGCCTGGGCGACAAGAGTGAAACAGTTTCAAAAAAAAAAAAAAAACAAAAAAAACCTAAAACTAAAAAAGTATACATGGAATGTTTGTAATGCAGAGAAATGATACATGCTTGAGGTGATGTATATACTATTTACTCTGATGTGATTATTATGC